ATTAGCGTTACGTCGTACTAACCACTTTTATCTGAAATATCTCCTCGTTGGTTAAGAATTACAAATTCAAATTTACAAATTCATTATGCTGGTACATTTGAGTTTTGAAAACAGCAATTCATTCGTTTTTTCCTCATTATTTTTTTCCTTGGCGTCGCTTATTACCGCACAATGGAAAACATGAAATATCGGCATATTTAAAAGTATGAGTTCTACCGTGGCACCAGTGCTGCAGAAACAGCTCGAAGGATTAATTATGTGTACGGGGCTGGTGTCGCAAAAGAAAGCACGGTACGAGACGGCCGTATACCAAAGTGGAAAATGAAGAATTAAAGGCTATTGTGGAAGCGGATCTATCACAAAATACTTCAAAGATAGCTGCAGGCTTCGGGGTAAGTGATAAAACTGTATTAATCCACTTGAAACAAATCGGGAAAGTAAAAAAACTTGAACGATGGGTACCTCATGAATTAAGTGAATCGAACTTGCAAACACGCGTCGAATGCCGTGTTACTTTGCTCAACCGACACAAAAATGAAGGGATTTTAAATCAAATCATTACTTGTGATAAAAAGTGGATACTGTACGATAATCTGAAGCGCTCGTCGCAATGGCTGATCCCTGGAGACCCAAGCGAATTCTGCCCTTAACGAATTTTGACTCATAAAAAGTTACTTGTGAGTGTTTAATGAACTATCGCCGGTGTCGTTCACTACAGCTTTCTAAAATCTGGCCAAACGATTACGGCAGATATCTATTGTCAGCAACTGCAAGCCATGAAGGAAGAACTAGCTGCTAAACAACCGAGATTGGTCAATCGCTCTAGGCCACTGCTGCTTCACGACAACGGAAGACTGCACAACAAACAACCTTTAAGTTAGATGAGCTACAAATTAAATGTCTGCGATATCCACCGTACTCCCCGGACCTTGCTCCAACAGATTACCGTTTTTTTCCGGAATTTGGACAACTTCTTACAAGGAAAAAAATTCAACTCCGATGCGGCAGTCCAAACTTCTTCAAACACGTTATTGATTTAAAAAACTAGCGACCCACATAGTTTTTTTTTTAGTAAAGGGATCAATGAACTACCTATGAGATGGCAAAAGTGCATAGATAACAACGGTGCATACTTTGATAAATTAAATATATTTCACAAAAAAAATTGACTTCATATTCCTCCCGTACAAAACGCCAATATCATATGTAAGGACCTATTATTAAGTCTTTACCTATGAACTCAAACTAATGAGAAGTACTAACCCAATACCAATAAATAAATGACGAATTTTGAAAATAGAATTCCACGCTTTCAAAATAAAATAAAATTTAAATTTGAAGTCTTTGCCAAACAAAAATTATTTTGATTTGAAATAGCAATTCATAAGTAAAGACATATTATTACCTATGTACACAAAGTGATCCTAAAGTGATTCTACCTACGTTAAAACTAAGTATGTGAATTACAATAGTGCTGACTGTAATTATCTATATTCGAATAAATTTTGTGGTAATTAATAAATAAAATAAAATAAAAATGTTTTATGTTTAAATCATCATTGGCCTATTAGCATGTTAGTAGTATATAAAATTAATAAAAACACAATAAACCTAAAAAAAGTTAGTATATACAACATTTGAGTATTAAACCAAAGGAGACTGCATCGCAAGGCATACCCCTCCGTAAAAGGTACGAGAGTTTGACTCATACCCGTTATATAAAACTAGTTGCTCCGCGTTGTGCGTCATTCCGAAGTGATCGTGCCAGTAAATCGAGCTCCGACAAAATGCCGAATTGCAGTGTATTTACGTGAAAAAAAATCAAATCAAAAACGTCAAGTATACAAAAGGACAATGTGACTTTTCATCTGTGAGTATTTTTAACATAATATTAAAGTAATTTTATTATTAAAACTCGTACTTTGTGAATATTCTCGTCCAATACCAAGTGTGGCCATCATAATTCTTAAAGTGAAAAATTATCTATTTTTAGATAAATATAATGTACTACACAAGTTAAGTATATTAACGAAAATATATTTCCTAATAACTAAATTAGTTTTGTGATAAATAATTATCACTACATATAGATGTGTGATTTTGTTGAATGATTTATATATTCAGCACAATTTCAGCACGATACTGAATATTATATAATTTAATATAATCGATAACTAGTATTTATCAAAATATTATCCAAATAAAGTCCAAATAAGTCAAATCTAAAATTGCTACTTCGCAGCAAAAGTGTGCAATTTTTATGAAAATAAACTGGTATCACTGCAGCCGAAAGTATTGTACTATAGTGATGAACGCCACAACTTTAGCTATCGATAAGTTAATTAACCATGCAAGTTTGTCTGCCGAACCGGTTGGTAGTTTTTATTGAGCTTTTACAATAAAGTATTACAAAAAGTAGTAAATTATTCTATTATGGGTTTGTTTTTACAGATTTCCAAAAGATCCTTTTAGGCGGCAAACTTGGATTGTAGCATGTAAAAACCATGAATCTTGGATACCTAAACAGACTAGCACCATTAAATTTGCTCCGAACATTTTGAAAAATCTTATTTCATACCCCAAGCTTACAATAAAAGAAGGTAAGCTGATACTGCATTACCAACCATGAACTTGTGGGAGGTAATGTTTGGCCGTAATTATATTTAGATTAAATATTTTTGTTATTACCTTTGACACCAATATTCTACTTGAAAATAATAAGTTCATATACTCATTTATACTATAAATATATTATTATATTATTATATAATAATATAATATATATATATTATATTTATATATATATATATATATTGAATCATCTGACTTACGTAAGTAAATTAGTAAATTCTTTATTTTAGGGTGATCGTGGTGATTGCACAATATCGTCTACATCGAAAAAAGAAAGCTGGATGTTCCGGAAAAATTGCATTACTAGGCTGCACTAAAAGTATCAGAAATGGAATATTTCCGCTGTTCCTGTCATATTAAAATCTTTTTAATTGAAAACTACTTGGTTTTAAAAATCGAATACCATTTATTTATTTAAAAAAACATTCTCGGTCTTGTCACAAGGTTTTGTCAAACTTGTTTAGTCGTTGAGAAAATGGAATTGACTCGAGAAAATTCAAGAGCGATGATTTATTATGACTTTCGAAGTGCTTTAACACAAAAACAGTGTGTTGAACGGATGATTTCTGCATTTGGTGATGAAGCCCCATCTAAAACCACAATTTATCGCTGGTTTGCTGAATTTCAACGTGGACGTGTCAAGCTCAATGATGATCCCCGTCAAGGTCGTCCAAAAACTGCAGTCACCCAAGAAAACGTTGATGCTGTGCGTAAGCTGATTAAGGAAGATCGACATGTGACATACCGCGAAATGCCTGAATTTTACACATTAAACATAATAATAAACTTTAGACATTGGCATGAGTCAAATACAAATAATCTTGCATGAACAATTAGGTGTAAAAAAAGTTGTTTTCCCGATTCTTTTTTCCCGACGCTTTTTGCTCTCAAATGCTCTGAAGAGCAAAAAGCGTCTCGCGTTACTTGGTGCATCAGAACTCTCGAAAGATTCCACGCAGGATCCTCAAATGCTGTATACAACATCGTATCAGGTAACGAATCCTGGATATACGCGTACTAACCCGAAACAAAAAACCAGTCACGAGTTTGGGTGTTCGAAAATGAGTTAAAGCCAACAAAAATTGTTCGTTCACGGAGTGTTGCAAAAAAAATGGTGGCCACGTTTGTCTCCAAAACCGGCCATGTTACGACTATTCCTCTTGAGGGACAAAGAACGGTTAATGCAGAATGGTATGCTAGCATTTGTTTGCAACAGGTCGTTTCTGAACTCCGTAACGAGAACTGCAACCACCGCATCATCCTCCATCACTACAATGCGAGTTCTCACACCGCACACAGAACAAAAGAGTTTTTAGAGCAAGAAAACATAGAATTATTATACCATCCGCCGTACAGCCCCGATCTAAGCCCTAATTATTTCTATACTTTCCCTAAAATAAAGAATAAATTGCGTGGACAGAGATTTTCATCACCTGAAGAAGCTGTGGACGCCTACAAAACGGCCGTTTTGGAGACCCCAACTTCCGGATGGAATGGCTGCTTCAATGATTGGTTCCATCGTATGGAAAAATGTGTCAAATTTCGCGGAGAATGGTTCGAAAAGCAATAAATACATTTTTAAATAGTAATGTTGTGTCACTTCCTTGATTCCCGAAATTTTCAGTGCCGCCCTCGTGGTAGTTTCGAAAGTCACAATTCGAAAAAAGTTCTTTATATAGCCCGAACTAGTCCTACTCCCACTGCGAGTAAGAGCCAACACTTAGGCCAAGGAAAATTAAACTGAAAAAATCCCTTAACTTAAAAAACAATAGCATAAAAAGGCTTCACAAGTTTGCAAGAAATACTTTGCTCTAACAATTAAAAATAACTCACCAAAAGCCTATCGCTATGTATAAAACTTTTGGAACATGTTTGCGTGCACCACAGACATTGACTAAGTGGACCATCGATCTACGACCAAGGTTTACTCAAGAAGTGCTGACGGCATTAAAATTGAGAGTGGAGAGTAACCCTGATAAAAAAAATTTATTGTTCCTTGGTCATGGAAGAAATGAAAACTAAGCAATCGACGGAATAACATGATAGCCAACAAAGGCATTATATTTCGTCGCTTCATTCTTCAGATACAATTAACTTAGGTAGTCCCTTAACCTACTCGAGGAATTCGCACGTTTAGAGAATCGATCTATTTTAAATTGATTTTTTTTCTGTTGGCAACTTCCACTCTCCGTTTACACACCGGTCCGATAGCCACTTCCAGACTTCTCGACTATTACTCCCACTTCATTCCTTAACTGTGCGGGGCAACGTTCGCACGTGCCTTTCTTTAAAAGTGAAAATAATTTATATTCTGTGGTTACTATGCCAAAAAAGAAAAAATTAAACGTTATCGACGCAAAATTAGAAAAATGGAACAGGAGCAGCGAAAATACAAACGAATCATTTATTCATCTTCTGAAAATAAAGATTCGGGTTGGTAAAGTTTTATCTCTAAACATTATAAATACTAAATTAAATACAATATTATAAAATAATGTATTTACATTTTACCTGGAGGTTGACCGTGTGTCATCATGAAGGTGATTTTAATACCGAGAGGTTAACCGCGTGTTAACACGAAGGTACTTTGAAATCGTTCGAGAAACGATTTCACAGCTATTTTTATAAAATAATTTTATAATATTCGTATATTAATATTCGATTATATTCGATTATATCGTATATAAAATTATATTGAGATAATATAAAATAATGTATTAAAATTAATGACCAGTGTTTACACATGGCCAGTAGATTAAATGTTACTATTCGAGAAGTAATTTGTTTGCCTTTGGTTTGAATATCTACCCTCAATAACAATCAATTGTTTTAGATAATGAAAACCTTGATAACGCCGATATAGAACCCTTGAATTCAGAGTATCCAAGCGGCAAAAATAGTGCTTTAAATAATGAGGAGACAAAATATGACTCGGACCAAGAACCGGTAGTATCAGAATTAGAGCCTGACATCCTTATTGCCTTAGGTGAGACCACGGAAGAGACACCGAAGTTGGGCCCGAAACTCCATGAAAAGTTAGCTCAGCTATGGCTACCTATACTTCGAAAAGGTATACATAAAGAGGCGAAAGAGAAATTACTCAAAGAGTATCTCATACCGGAAAACTGCTCGTTATTACAAGCGCCAAAACTAAACCCTGAGATTTCGGCTGCTGTTTCAGGCACCAGACCAGACAAGAGAGTCAGGCCGTACAGCAACAATTAGGGCAGGGGATATCAGCTCTTAACAAAGGTCTCGAACTACTCTTAGAGGATGGCAAAGACAGACTTCAAGCCGTTAAGTTTCTCAGTGACAGCTGTAGAATACTATGTGACCTACACTATGTAGAAACGGAAGCAAGGAAGAAATTCGTGACCCCAGGATTGGATAAATCCTTTATGAATATTATGCAGGAAGTGAATCGCGATGACCTGCTCTTTGGAAGTAAGCTTTCAGAAAAAATAAAAGCCACAAGAGTGATCGAGAAACACGGTTTACAAATCAAGGAAACCTGTCAAAATTTGAAAATTTCTTACTCGTTAGATCAACCATCAACGAGCCCCTCACGCCCCCAGGGAAACTGGGGAGGCCCTTCTCGCTCCTCGTTAAACAGAGGGGGGAGGGGGAGGGCCGAAGAAGAATACACTACCAAGTCGCAGAGCGCCACCGGGCACCAGCTTCCAACCGAAGCCGTCGGCGCAGAGCAAGCACTGTGCCACAGCTCAACGTAAAGTAAGAAACCGAGAAAAAACAGTAAAGGTACACGCAGGAAGAATTCAGCATTTTTATAACTGCTGGTTTAACATAACTAAAAATTCTCAAATACTTAAGTGGATCTCAGAAGGGTATTCCTTACCGTTTTGTAGCAAAGAAAGACAAATTTCAGTTCCACGTAATTCTGTACTCAGTAATGACCAGCATATGTTAAATTCTATCAAATCTTTATTGGATGTTGGTGCTATTTCACCCTGTCGCAGATCGATGGACGACTATGTTTCCAATGTATTTCTAGCTCCGAAATCTAACGGAGCAAAAAGATTTATCTTAAATCTTAGAACTCTAAATAGGTTTATTTCAACCACCCACTTCAAAATGGAAGACCATAAGACTGCGGCTAGACTTTTACCTAAATCTGGCTTCATGGCAAATATTGATATAAAAGAGGCTTACCTTTTGGTTCCAATAGCAAAAAAATATCGTAAGTAATTACGTTTTCAATTTAATAAAAAATGCTTTGAATTTAACGCTCTGCCATATGGACTGTCCGTTGCCCCTTGGGTTTTCACTAAGTTAATGAAAGAACCTATTAACTATCTACGACAACGAGGATACAGGTCGGTAATATATCTGGATGATATACTATGCATAGGCGACACTTACGAAGAGTGCTCCACTAACGTAAGTAAAACGTTGTCATTGCTCAAATGCTTAGGATTTGTCATCAATTACGAAAAAAGTTTCCTTGAACCAAAACAGATATGTCGATTTCTTGGGTTTATATATAATTCAGTTGATATGTCATTAAGTTTACCAAATGACAAACGACAAGTTATTACGCAGTATGTCAAAAATTTTGCCTTACTCCCCAAATGCTCTATCAGGGAATTGTCACAAATAATAGGAATACTTACTGCTGCCTGTCCAGCCGTTAGATATGGTTGGTTGTACACCAAAATTCTCGAACGTCAAAAATATTTAGCCTTACTAAAATACAACGATTTAAAAAAAATCAAGCCTTCAGTCGTTATTTTACCCGACCTGCAATGGTGGAAACACAATATATTTTCCACTAGCAATTCACTGAGGCCAAACAAAAACTTTGCTTTAGAAATATATATTGACGCGTCCAATACAGGCTGGGGGGCTGTTTGTGATGATAAAAGAGTAAACGGTGGGTGGAAGGACGATGAATTATCCTTTCACATTAATTACCTAGAACTACTAGCCGTTTTCCTAGGCTTGAAATGCTTTGCTATTGCTCACTCTAATTGCTCTATTTTACTCCGCGTGGACGACACAACTGCCATAGGCTACATAAAAAATCGTATGGGCGGATTACGGTTTCCACATTTAAATAATTTGACCAAAACTATTTGGCAGTGGTGCGAGAAGCGAAATATCTTCTTATTTGCATCCTACATTAACACACACGACAACCGCGAAGCTGATGAAGAATCACGAAAAGTAAACGTAGATACGGAGTGAGAATTATCAGAACGGGCGTTCGCAACAATTGTTCAAAGTCTGGGAGAACCTGAAAGTGATCTTTTTGCTTCTCGTACCATGCAAAATGCCTTCAATATATCTCATGGAAACCTGACTCCGACGCAATGACAATTGACGATTTTACAGTTAACTGCAACTCGGCGTTCTTCTACGCATTTCCACCGTTCGCCTTAATACTAAGGATGTTTACGAAAAATTATTAGTGACAAAGCCGCCGGTACATTAGTATTTCCTTACTGGCCTGGACAAGCTTGGTTTCCACTGCTCAAAAGAATGCTCATCTCAGAGATTATTTTCTTTAAACCCAATAGAGACCTTTTGCGTTGTCGTTACAGGTTACGTCACCGACTTCATGCTAGCCTTTCCCTGGCGGCCGCGACGCTCTCAAGGCAACATTTAAGAGACTAAACACTCCGGACATAGCACTAGATCTCATGCTAGCATCCATCTCAGGTAATACTATGAAACAATATTCTGGTACATACAGACTGTGGTGGCAATTTTGTTTAAATAGCCAAGTAAATACTTATGACGCTCCATTTTCATCCAATAATATCATTTTTAGTGGATCTGTACAAAAATAGAACATCATATGGATCCATTAATAGTCATCGCTCTGCCCTATCACTACTCCTCGGGAATAATATGGGGTCAGACGAACGAATTAAGCGGTTATTAAAGGGTATTCATAGACAAAAACCTTCCCTTCCCAAACACACAACTACATGGGATCCGAAAACTGTGCTTGATTATGTATCTAAATGGTATCCAAATAGCAATATAAGCCTAACAAAACTTACAAAGAAAATAACAATACTTTTTGCTTTGTATACTTCTCACCGCGTACAAACTCTCTCTCTAATAAGAACTTCTAATATCATAAGATCCCTGTCAGGCGCTAAGATTTTATAACTGACATAATAAAAACTTCAGCACCAAATCGAGAGCAACTAGTATTATTCCTGCCTTATTTCGTGAAGAACCCAAGCATATGTCCAGCTAGAACCCTAGACGACTATCTTATAGTAACATCTGGGCTGCGAACTAAAGAGACTGACAATCTCTTGCTTACTCATAAAAAACCTTACAAAAAGGCATCGTCTCAAACTATAAGCCGATGGATAAAGCAGACTTTAGCAGAGAGCGGTGTGGACGTGAATGACGAAATATAATATGATATCAAACGAACTTTTTGAAGTGAAGTTCGATCATTATTATATGAGTCGCTTCATTAGAAGATACAAAGGTCCCACCCACCCATACCCGTCGTAAAAAACTTAAACAAATATCTCTAAAAAGAATGAAGTGGCTATCGGACCGGTGGGTAAACGAAGAGTGGGAGTTGCCAACAGAAAAAAAAATCGATTTAAAATAGATCGATTCTCTAAACGTGCGAATTCCTCGAGTAGGTTAAGGGACTACCTAAGTTAATTGTATTTTTGAATGAAGCGACTCATATAATAATGATCGAACTTCACTTCAAGAAGTTCGTTTGATATCATATTATGTATATAACCAAAATGTCTTTTAGAACTTGCATAGTACTCCGTCCATTGTTTTATTTTCATTTCATCTATCACTAATATAGAATACAATTTATTGTCAGGGATACTCTCTAGTGAAAATTTTAAAACAGTTAACGCTTTTTGTGTCGCTAAGTCAGTCGTCAATTGTACATTAGTTTAGCAAAACATCTTTCTGGGGAATACTTAGCCCGAGATAGATGTCACATTTTATTTTTAATAAAATATAGTGTAAAACTTTTTTATTTTCCTAATTTATTAAATATTTTCCAGATAGTTCATTTAATAACTCTTCATAATCAACAAATTTTTCAATAAAAATAAAAATAAAAACAAAAACTTGGTTAACACCATCTAAGACGATAAACTGATAGGACTTTTCTTCTCATAAATCTGATTTTTAAAATAAGTTAACTAAACCTCCTATTTCGATTTGTTAAATATTTTAAAATTTTATCCTGCGTAATGTAAAATAAACCTGTAGCAAAATCCGTTTTTTTCCGAAGATCATTTTTAAATACTTTAAAAAAAGAATTTCAAATAACACCTTGGTATTATTTATCTATGTATTATTATTATATTATTAGTATTATTATTATTAATATAATCAAATAAAAACTTATGCGAACTATGGTGATATATGTATCGATAAAAATATCGACATAGTCCACGCCTTATGTTGCTTACGCATTCAGTCAGCGCCATCAGTGTATCGACACGTGTTCAATTTGAAGGTATGCGTAAAGGCGATGAACACAAACACAAATGCTGTAGTGTGTGTTTATAGTGACACGATTTAATTTTGCATTTGTAGTTAAGTATACAGTTGTGTGTTTTTCTTGCGCCACCCAGATATTGACAGAATTTTTGTTTAGGAATTAAAGCGCATGGCCTCTCCAGTTGCTTGAATACTCAAAGTATACAACACATAAAAAAAAAAGACAGGAATTCAAATATTGAGGGAGTTATCATGTAGTAATGTAGCTTGATAACCCTACCCAACGTCAGGCCATCTAACCTCTCAGCAAAAACCCTCAGAATACTTTTCGAACTACTACTCTCTCTGCGCATCAATGACTCCACAATGCGCATCGACGAACATGGCTGATGCACTGCAATAAGGTGGAAGCCCTAATAATAAACTGAAATTATAGATATTAACAGTTACTTTGCAACGATCCGCTCAATAATCCGCTTATTGAGCGGATGGTGGCAAAGTAACTGTTAATATCTTTAT